CTGAGGATATTACACTTATACTCTTGAGATTTTTTCAAATTACAAAGACCCCAGTTCTCTTAAAATTTTATACAAACTTATCCTATGTTTTAAGAACATTACTTTTGCCACACTTTTCTTACATTACAGATGCACCTTAAGTTGTAAAAAGATTACAGCTAAACATCATTATAAGGGAGAACATGTAATGATGAAACTAATAGGGAGTGGAAGTGTAATTTGAAAAAATCTCACAATGAATGTCATTGTAATATACTCAAATTAATATCATTAGACAGGCTCATCAAATACTGACCAATGAAGCTGATAAAGATCCACTGAAGTCAGTCCTAATCGACAAAGGGAATCGTTAAGAGCCTTGAGAACACTTTGACGGCCGAATCTCCATGGCAGTGCAGCAAACTTGGTTGCAACAGCAACCTCAACATCTGGATCCTTTTCTTTTCTTTCCTTAATATATCTTTAGATAACAAACAAATGGAACCACCAATGTGAACCTTTCATAATTGCAAACTGGTTATGAAAATCATGTAAGCTCATTCATACCTTCCAAGAAGAACCTCAGAGTTTATGGCTCCTAAAGCAAGCTGAAAAGAAGAACATCTTTGGTGAATTTAGACTCATCAAAGAATTCTAGAAAAATGAACACTCACCCCAGAGCCATAGACTTCAGCAGTGTCGAAAAAGGTTAGACCTCCATCAATACTGGCATTGAAAGCATCTCTAGCAGCCTTTTCATTCCTATCTACAATCACCACATAGCCAAAATGAATACATTCTAATCTAACTTTATTCATTTAAAAACCTATTTCAATCCATTCAACTCAAAACACCATATACATTATCTGATAGAAAAGGCCTCTTCACTGTGTCTCAAATCTGCAACTTTTATACATTATAGTCAAATGACATCTTGAGTAGAAATTAGAAAGAATTTTTTAAGATAAAAAACAAATAAAAGTCTAACAGAAACACAAACAAGTAAAAGCTTTGTAATAAAATCAGTTCCCAAGATTAACTAAAAAGTTTGTTACATTAACTACCAATAATATTAACATTAATTTGGAATATCTATATTTCTATCTATTGAATAATACTGATGCAAAACACATCTTGACCTTTTTCCAACAATAGAACTATTGATAAATAGCCAAATATATGGGGGAACACACCTTTAAAATTTAGCTAATAAGAAGGAGAACCAATCACTTAAATATATGGGCACCCATAATACCAAGTTCCTATCACCCTCTTTATCCCTTTTTTACTTATTTTCTTCACTTTCAGTTTGTCAGCATATCAAACTCCAGTGGTAGATATAAGCTCAACACAAAGTAAGAGAGATTGATTACAAGCAATTAATTTGGTATTATCAGTCTCAGCATTAAAGAACTTGGACAAGGGTGTTTTCTGAACTGAAATGTTTCATTTTCTAGCTCCTGTTGTTTTAGGTTAGACCCAATATTATTGGGGATGATTTGCTTGAACTATGAAATCATGTGTTTGAATTCTTTACAGGTCAATTCTTACTTTCACATTCACTTCTCTCAAATTTTTGCTTTAGTACTTATTGCTTATCACCTAGACCTTAATGATAGAAACACTTGCTATAACACTAATATATGTTTTCAAGCGAGTGATCTTCTTCCACAATCCTTATCACTCTCACAAGCCAATTTTACCACAGTAGCCCATATATTAATGCAGATAAACGTGAAAAATATTACAATAACGTCATTAACATGGGATTCCAATTCTTTCCCATCACACCTCCTTATTAGACAACTTCCGAAAATTATGGTACAGAAGCTGTACACCTAAAACTGGTTTCAGACAGCAAATAATGTGACACTCTCAGGTTTTAACCAACAAAGAAAGCAACAATCCTCAAATTGCTGTCAACTTCCCCACCCCCACCAAATGGATAGGAATTGTTGCATATTCCAACAATTATGCTTCAAAAACAGTTGACAATTTAACTTCAACATTGAAAGCTATTTTCCTAACATGTGCAACTCACAGCCTCCATCATTGACCATTAATAGAAATAAAAAAAGAAGGCTTAAATAATTTGTTTTCCTTAAAATACCACAATGATTTTAATGTCTCTGCAATGACTGTGTATAAAATTCCAGACTATTAATCAATAAGGAATTATAATAAATATCACTTTCAAGATCATTATCTCAAAAGTTAACAACATTTTCATACAAGACAATGTAAATAGCCCGTACACTTGATGTTAATACTTTTTACTCTTTGTGAAGGGAATATAACTTTGGTTAAGTAAGTTGTTGCAAACTCGTTTATATATGTTTACTTCTCACATTAAAATAAATCCTCTTAACTCTTTAGTATTTACTACATATGGTTTTACTGGGACATAAATTATACCTTTTTGTTAGATATAAAGATTTAAAAAGCATAAAATTTTATCAGAGATTAAAACTAAAAATTGTGATATTTTCAAGAAAGATATCCCCCAAATAAAAAGAAAAAGTGGAAAAAGGAAAGTTACCATTCCATTCCAAATCGTTCCAGTAAGTGGTATCACCCCAAGACCAAGCTCCAATTCCTAACCTTGTGACCTTCAAATCAGAGTTACCCAAATTCACCTTTTCCTCCGTCACTGTATTAAGAGTAGAAGAACCCTCTGAAGCAGCAGCAGTAGCTCTTATTCTGTGAACTCTTGAGTGACACATCACAGCAAAACAACTACTGCTAATATGAAGGGCCATGTGAACAAAAAACCAGTTCAAGTCCAAAACTGGGTCTGTGGCTATGAAATTAAAAACGCAAAAAATCAAGTCTTTTATTGAAGTTCAAAAGTATACAACTTTTAACACAAGATTTCAACAAATATGATATCAGGGTGACAACTATGAATCTAAACGTTCCTTGGAAATTGACGGGGGGAAAACACAAAATTACGTGAAGAGCATAAGAAAATTTTGCAACATTTGTTGAAATGAAATGAAGAAAGTGAAAAATTGAGGATTCTTGTTTGTAGAAGAATGGTGGGGATGAAATGATACACGTCATTGCAATCCATTGGACGCAGAACCGTTGAAGAGATCACTTGTGGACCCATTTTCATATTTTGTACTTTCAATTATCAGAATTCTAAATGGTGCCCGCCTATTTATAGTTTTTTTCCCTTTAAATAATATAAAAAAGACTTAATATCATTTGTTTCAATTTTTGTTAGCTTTCAAAATAATCTTAATTTTTTTTAAATGTTCAATTTACTCCTAAACATAGTAATTTTTATTCAATTAAGTCCTTTTTCCAAACGCCTTTTAAATCATTAGCGGTAAAATGTTCAATTGTGCAATCAGTGAATGACATGTCATTTAACTACTGACTTGCCTTGACTGAAACATGACGCAGTCAATGAGAGACTTCCACGTGGCAGCCCCTCCACCACCCACAAATTTAGGGTTTCTGAATGCAAGGGGAAAAGGCTTCCTTCCGCCTGCACCACGAGAGGAAAACTGAACGGGTTTCGAAATATAGGAGCGTCGCGATTCGAATCTATCTTGTGGTTGCTTGTCTGCGATTTGGTTTCTTTGGTTTCTTTCTACTTGCAGGTTCGAAGAGCAACTTCGTGATGGCTAGAGAAGATGAAGATTGATGGAGAATGACGCTTTTGTGGCGGCGATTCTGTTCCAATTGGCTTTTTCATTCTTTGTATTTCCTTTTGTAGGTTGAAGACTTGATGGAGAAGATGAGCTCGTGCTTGGCTCGCTATCTCGTTGCAGCGGTCATGGTTGTCACGACAAGATGTTGATGGCAATTCATGATGGAGGAAAGGGAAGATGGTCATGGTGGTGTTTTTGGGTGGTTGTTGGACGGAGAAGATGAACAACAGTGGTGGTGACGCGACCATCTAGTTAGGTTTCGAAATTTTTGATGATGGAGGTGCGAAGATGGTGGCTGGTCGTCGGCGACGGTTATGGTTATGTGGTGGCTAGGGTTTCTGTGTAAGGAGAAATTAGGGTTTTTAGAGGTAGGAGATGATGTGACATGTCAAGGGTGATGTGTCACTGATTGCACAATTGTACATTTGGCCGTTAACGATTTAAACGGCGTTTACAAAAAGGATTAAATTGAACACAAATTACTCTTAATTTTCCAAAATTGCAGAGAAGTCCCAAAAATTTCCTTTATGTACACTTTAGCCCCTCCTTTCTTTTCCAAAATTGCTCAGAAGCCCTTTAGTTGACAAAAGTTAATTTGTTTGACCAAGGAAGACTTATTGACCAGATTTGACTCAAGGTGGATGCGACCAATGAGGGAATGCCACATGCCACGTGGTAACCCCTTTCTCACCCAAACTAGGGTTTCAAATTGAAATTGAACAACAAAGGTGCTATCGCGCGACTATAGCAGCTCGAGGCAGGATTCTTTAATCTAATGGCACGAGGAAGAGGAAAGGTGTGATGGTTGTGTGATTCTGGATATAGATTTCTTGATTTCTCTTCTTGTAGGTGCAAGGCTCACGAAGGAAAAGATGAACTCGTGATTCGTGAAGACGCGAAGTTGGATCGTGAGGACGGTTTCACGATGTTGTTCGAAGGTTGAAGGAGAAGGCGTGTTGTTTATGGGGTTTTCTCCTGCAGGTTTAATGGAGAATTAGGGGTTTCTAGAGATCGCGAAGAAGGATTTTCTGGGTGCACGTTTTTCATGGCACAATGGTTGTGTGTGATGGTAGAGGCTGATGCGCAAATTGGTTTTTTGCTTTTCACGAATTTGGTGTAGGTATTTAATGTAGGTCTTTGATGCATTCTTAGGTCTCTCCTACTACAACATTGCCTCTACCTTGGGTGGATCCATGGATATCCCATGAGTTAATATCACATGTCCTAAGAATTACACCTTTCCCATTTAAAAGTCATATTTGGACAGTTAGGCATTGATAAGTCCTAAATTTAAATGAATTTTAAGATAATTTTGACACCTATCTTATTTTTATTTGTTTAGATTATGATTGATGCACCCTTATTTAGTTTGTTTTGCAATTCTTGATATCAATAGAGAGTCAAAGTGGAAAAATAAAGAAAATGGATGAAATTTAAGCTATTTTGGGCAAAACTAATATTGGTGTAGTTTAGCAGCAGAGTTGGAACTTGAGCCACACAAGCAAACCCATTGACAACAAAAACGTTAAGCACTAAACATGAGGCTAAACCATTAAGACTTATTCTTAAAGAATTTATCTCAAGGGTTGGAGCACCAGAGGATGAGGCTTAGGCCATAAGAGAAAACCCTTATGAGGAGAAAACCTTAAGCACCTACCTTTGGAAAGATATGAAATGTAACTTTTACAACTTGAGCCTAAAATTTGAACCTTAATCTCTAAGAAAGATGATATGGAAAGGTATGGAATAAAACCTTTGCGGCTCAAGCACCAAAGTTGGAGCTAAGAACCACCCTGGACAATTTATAAACACATAACTCATGTCCTTATTTTAGGCATTGAGTGGAGGATCAAATATGTACTAGAAGAGTAAGAATAGGTTTGTGAGGCTCAAGAGAGATTCTTTATTGTAAATCTTATGTCTAGATGCTCTTGGGATTGCATTGCAATTCTATGAGTAGCTAAACTCTCTCATATCGAGGTTGGATATAATCAATTTTAACTCTCTATACTTCTACTTCTTGGATATTTATTTATGGTTTTATTCAATCTATTTGTGAATTAATAAATGCTTGTTAGTTGATGAACTGATTATTCATCGTATTTCATTTGGTTGTGATTAAGTAGGAACTAGTTTGAAGTTGTGGTCCAACTAATTCTCCTACTGTTTTTAGATGCTATGAATAGATCTAAGGCTCTAGTTGGTTACAGAGTAAAGATCTTAATACAAGTGATTCATCCAAACAATCACTAAGGGATTATACTAATGTTTGATGAACTTAGGCTTTAGGTGCTAGGAATGAGCCTATAGTTGTATTTAAAGAGCACTCCCAAGACAAGGAAGGATTTGTGTAAGTACATAGACAAGATCAATAGTAGTGCAGTGGAAGAGCATGAGATGAAATCCACTCATATCATCTACTTCACTCAATCTATATAATATATACTACTATCAATTTTTCCAAATGTAGAAACCCAAAAACAAACTACCAATATGCTTTCTAGATCTCCGTGGATACGATATCCTCAATTCGATTATAATACAAATGGCTTGGTGCACTCACGAATAGGTCATATAGGTAGATAAATCTTGTAAAACTTGATATTCTGTGATATTGAGGATTATGGGACTTAAGCCTAGTGAACATAAAAATCACAACCCAACTTTACCCCCATCAAGCCATGAAGAATCCTTCACCTAGAAGTAATCTAAGGAAGGCTCCAACCTAGAAACACATAACTTAAGCCATAAAGGAAACCCACCTTAGGAGGAAACCTCAGGGTTGGAGCCATGGAAGCCACCGCTGAAGTCACACTATCAGAAGTCTATAAAAAAAAGATTTTACCCCTATTTTATAAAACTTTTTGGAGAGCTCTTTGGAGAACTTTTGAGAGGCTCTTTTAGAGAGATTTAGAGAGAGACTTTAGAAAGTATTCTCACACACTTCCTTTGTATTTTAAAGAACATTATTAGAGGATTAGGAGGTGGACTTTCTTCCATGTATTAACTTCATTCCATCCATTATGAGAAGATAAATCTCTTAAGTGTTTAAGTGAGATGTAAAATACTTTGAAATTATCTTGTATTTGATAATATTTTTATTTATGAATGTTTGCTTTTGATCACATGTTTGCCAATTGATTTATGCTTGTTGTTGGATGAACTGGTCACTCATCTTATTTCACTTGCTTGGGATTTAGCATAAAGTAGTTTCAATTTGTGGTCTAATCAATTCTCTTGTATGCTTTTATATGATAGGAATAAATCCAAGGTTGAAGTACTGATCTTAATGCAGGTGATCTATTCAAGCAGTCATTGACGAATCATACTGAAGTTTGGTGATCCTAGGCTTTAGGTGCCAAGAATTCACCCAGAGTTACATTTAAAGAGAACTACCAAGACTTGGTTATTTGCAGCGTAACTTCAACATAGTTTAATTTTCTAAAAGTCACTCATTTGTAATCTAAACTATTGTCCAACATTTTTTACTCTATTTGCATAAAACAAATATGGTTTATACATATTGTTGAGATTGTTGATAAGAGGTGCACAGGTTTAGCTGAACCCACAATCTTTGTGATGTGTGTCTTTGATGATGAAAACACATAGTTAATAAAAACACATGTATATGTATTGTGTTCTATGTGTAATATGCTTACTCTGAGATTTAATACAAGTATAACTGCGAAAATATTGTGTTGTTTGTTGCATACTATTGTGTTGGAAATGTGATTATATCTTAGTATGCATAATATGTATTTTGAAATGGAAAAACCACATGCACCAAGCATATATGCATGACTTAATTGATTCCAATGATGGGTTAATCAATTAAGGTCATCAGACAGCTTAAGCTTTAAACTATGGCAAAACATGTTTTAAATCGATTACGTTAGTGGTTAAATCGTTTAAAACTCGTGGGTTTGCACAAATCTTTTCAAGTATGCTGTGATGGATTTTTAGAAGAAAAGTTTTAAAAAATATACTAAGTGTTAAAACTTAATCGATTACACACATGTTGTATTCAATTAAGTTTCTTAAATATTTGAAAACTATTTCATTACTTGACATAATGGTCACAACGGTCATATTTTTAAATATGTTGACCAGACATTAATTGCAAATCGATTACCTTAATTGTGCATTCAATTAATGACTTTGACTATTGTTAATTTGTTATAACTGAGATGAAATCGATTAGATTAATAGCATAATGATTTAAATGCGTCTGATTTGACCTATGCTATATATAGACTCATGATTTGAAAATCTGTAAGGAGAAGAAGAATTGATTTTAACACTTTCATATCTATTTTAGATAAATGCTTTGAAGTTTTACAGAGGAGAAAAACACTCCAAGAAACAAGAACTATCGTGGTGAACAAGACTTGATGTTTTCTTGAGAAGTTGGATTG